CCCCCCCCAAAATTCACGGATTGTTGACCGTATTACTGTCGCGCAAGGTTAATATCGCCATTCTGCGAGCCAGGTCATTGAAATATCGGTGCGGCTTTTATGGATGAAAATAGAAATGAAAAGGAAAGAAAAAGAGCGCGCAAATACGCGGAGAGAGAATAGTTTTTTTCTCATATAAATTCTTTTCAATTTTATTATGTCTTTACTAATTAAGGAATAGATTATGTCAGTAAAGTCTAGCTTGCTAAGGAACATAATAAATCTCGCTAGAAACATAGCGGATTTCACCAGAAACATAGCAAGTATTTCAATAACGCATTTCAGTTCCTAAAATATACGTGGCACGTATGAGATGAAAGGATACAGAGCGAAATCTTGCAGAATGTTGATGTACTTCTCGGTTACAAAGTCTTGTAGTAATTTTTACTATAAAGTTCTCTCTCCGTGTGGATGTAGCATGAACGTTACGGTGAAATCGTGCGAGAAAATATCGAAACGTGGGAAGAATGCACGACAAATAAACAGGACGTGATAATAATTCCCTATTGACAACAATGTCGTACGTATCTCGCACATTCTACAATTCTATTCTGAAACAAACAGAATTATCGCAACGGAAACTGCACGTGGCTACGTGCAAACAATCGAGCAGACTAGGCAACGATTATCGTATTACGTGCAAACACGATCCCGGCTACCGTGTATGCCTTTCGTTAAATCACATTTGTGCACTGCTGAGTCGCAGCCTTGCTGCACGCTGCGCTGAAATTAGCCGGAAGTGAATACGAGGCTATTCGTGTGTGTTCTTTATGGAATTTAAAAAACAGGGAGAAGTTACCTTTTTTCTAGAAATCCCCGATACGCTCTCGATTCTCTGCCTAATTAAGCTCGGAATGAAGACTTCACTGTAATTGTTTCCGATTTCGTACAGTTTCGTGAAAAATTGTTCAATGGCTCATTGAATCAGTTACAAAGTGCGGCTCGAGTTTTCAATCAAATGCGATTTTGTTGCATTCAATGAGAAAGGTCATTCATCAGTCAAGTAATCGTCGTAGTATGATCCTTTGTCAACGTTCTGATCCTTAGCGGAATCCTCTTATGTTATAAAAGAGGTTTCAAGAAGATTTTACCAAAATCAAAAAGAATCTGTTTCAATATTAAAAAAAAAAAAGAGTTGCAAAGTACTATTCCCTGTAACCTCATATCTTAGGCGAAAACTTTTATTGACAAAGTATAATGAAGAGGAGAGAGATTGCGCTTAGCATCTTTTCTTTGTGGTTTTAGAAGAATCCTCTTGAGGCTGTACGCAGAATGAGTCATTTAACGTTAGCTTTTAAAATATCTCTGTTGTTTTTTTAGCTTTTTAAAGGAAAATGTATAAGAAATAAATTGTGTGACTGAAAGAGGAATAAATATTGCAGTCTCAGCTCACTCTTCCAAACACACAATTTATTCCTTACACATTTTCCCCTCCAATATAAAAAAAGAAACAATAAAGATACTTTAGAATCTAACGTTAAGTGACTCGCTCTGTATAAGAGAATTTTGCTAAGAATGAGATTATATTTTTTGGATAAACATTACTAGCACTGTTGCCTGCATTACATGTATACAGCAACATTTGTTGGAAATCGAAATGAATTGATCTACTGTATATTTCCCGTCAGTTTCGAGGCGCTTCGTATAAATCAATGTATGCTCATTGTTCGCAGATGGCTAGAGGGTCGGAGGTCGGGATTGGACCAGCGAGTGGAAGAGAGACCATGGTGGAAGCCGCGACGAACGCGTGGATCACGCAGAGTACGCGGAAGTGCGCTCTGAGCAGGTTTTTAAGTTCGTTGTACGCCTCGCATCGCTTCAAGAATTTGCAGGTGAGAAAAACGGACGCTTCGTACGGCACGTTTGCCTTTCCTCCATTTATCGCGGCTCGTCCCTTCCCAGCATTCGTCAGTAATCGATTGATCCCTTTTCATTTCGTGAAATGTCACGAACTTTTGCAAAATCCAGCTAACAAGACGAGCAGCCTTCGACTGACTATTCATGAAACATTAAGCCTACGGCGGCGATGATCTTTTCCGCGAATTCTCGCCATGCAAATGGAGAGCTGTCGGGAATTAATCTAAGTTCATCAAGCGGTGGCACGCATGGACGAACGAACGAACGTACGAACGAGCTGCCATGCAAGCGCGTCGATATTGCCAATTGACGTGCGCTGCGCTGGGTAGAAGTAGTAATATGCGTCAGAGTTCGCGAATTCGACGAGGCAGGTGCAGGAGAAAAGCCCGTGGAAAAGGGAAAAGAGCCGGTGCTGGCCAGGAGCACAAAATCGCGCAACAAGTCCCAACTGTCTGGTTCCGGAAAACCGCACGTATCGTACTGTTGCGTGGAGCGAACTGATCCGCAACAGTTCAGAATCCGAGGAATTTCGCGGACCATATTCGCCGCCGTCCATCCCTTTTCTTTCACCGGCAACACGAATTTCGCGCAGAAACAATACCGTAACAAATCGCCCTTCATATCCCCCTTCCCCTTCCCTTCCGGCTCATTCTGTCCTTCCGGCTCTCTATGACTTTTTTCGCGGCAGAGCAAATGCGAATGCAGCCTTGGGTATATGTTGGATCCGGTGTGTTTTGTGGTTGAATTGTTGGTTTTGTACAACGGTGGAAATGCAACATTCCCGACCCGATACCCGCGAGGCGGTGGATCCTGTCTGCGTCATGAACGACGTGGTTAACGCGTTTAGCCGGACCTTTCCACCCGTAGGGCTTGAATGGAAATATATCGAAACGTTTCGACCATCAAACGCAGGAAGCTGCCTTCTGCAACGCGGACTTTTCTATGTGCACGGAAATGTTGCGTTGTTGTTTCCTGTTGTTGTTTCACAGACACGGAAGATCACGACTGAAAAATATTCCAAGTCGCCTTTGCTGCGCGCTTTTTTTTTTCTCTTGCACATTTTAATGGGTTCTAGCAACAGAAAATGCGTGGGCTGCGTTCTTTATTCAGCAGTACTTGCGTCGCTCTCTTTGCCCGGCAGTGAATTTCTCAACGCTTTGTTACTCTCCCCCCGAACATTAATTATTCTCTGTCGCAACTTCGAGCAATGTCGAGTGAAAAGTTGATTCCCGTCATTAACGTCATTAATTATTAATTAATAACTCCCATCTCTCTCAAATCTCCGTTCGTTCCTTCGACGCGAATTAGGCGCGCTAGACGGAATCTAACGAAACACGGGACTTAACTGTCAGTGTTAATAGCGTTACTCTCGACGTTTGTGAATTTCGCATGGGTTTTGCCCAACGATGCCGATTGGGATTTGAATAACCAGGTCATCAAAGTTGGGCTCGGGTCCATACTCTCTTATCCATTAACCACTCTGGTCACGATGTATCTGCTCTCTGTTGCCTCTACGATACGCTCACAAGCAAATGTTAAAGTAAACTTTCCTTATCTAATTCCTCCGATCAATAAACGTTGTATCAGCATATCGACACTGCGTTATGTCTACACCCCAACAATGCGTGATCGATCTCTTTGTACACATATAAAGTTGAAGCAGTCGCGCGCGCGCACACACACACACACACACACACACACACAGCGGTATACACTGCAGTTCTCTTTTATTAAAATTTCTACTTTTTTCGTCATTAATATTGGCTGCATGATATAGTAATGTTATATTATTAATTATTATATTATTAATTATTAATTTTCATTCAATATATTAATGTGATATTATAGATATAATTAAACATAAATACATAAATATAATATATAATAAATAATATTAAGATATATTATATATAATATATTATATTATTAATAATATTGCCTGCATCTGTTGTAAAATTCGTGAATCTGATTGGTACCTGTTCCTACACACAGAAAAATATTCTGTTACTAAGAAGAGCAATTACTCGGATTATTTTTCTTCTTTTAAGTAATGTTCATTTTTAACAAAAAATATTTATATATATGGATAATAGTAATAGCCTTAAAATATACTAGTAATAGCCTTAAAATATACTTATTATAGATTTTAGAGAAGCTCATATATTACCGTGTACTCAAAATAAGAATTTATTCTCTTTATACAAGGATACGAGAAAATTTTATCGAAATATAAGCTGGTTTTTGTAATAATCAAAGTGAATATTTGATTCAACTTAATATTCTTGATTGAAATGCTAGGATTAAACTGAAACTCTAGGATTCACAATATTTGGAATAAATTTGATGTTTATAATGAACTTGTGATTTATAAATTTAGGTAAATTTATGAACATATAAACTTATGAAACACTTGAAACAAGTGACATTTACACGAATGTAGTACGTGTTTTTCTGCGTGTAGATTCATCCAAAAAACTAAGAGCATTCTCCAATCAGATTAACGAATTGTATAACAAGAATTGCGAAGCAGCTGCCGAACGCTGCCTTTAATATGTTCTGCACGTATATTTATGTAAATATCAGTTAAAAAACGATGGAATACATCAGGTGCATAATATCGTTGACTGCAACGCTCAAAGAAATAACGAGAGAGGATCAAACCTAAAGCAAACATCGATGAAAACAGCCGCGTGTTGAAAATTTCGAAATCGACGTGGTGTTGCCGATGAAGCATTTCGCACGTGGCGATCCCGAGGTGACGACCCGCGAATACAAAATTACTTCGCGATTGTCGCGAGAACGTGACGGGATAACTGGAAAACGGTGTGAGTTCGTCGATGTTCTTCAAGCGAATTCTCCCATGGGGACAACTCGCATTGTCTGGTCACGTACGGTCGAAGCTGAGATATATCTGGTGGGGTCGGGAAGTTCGCAGAGGAGGAAACCCATAGACGTTTCTCGCGACACGATTTGATTGCGTTCGCCCGAGCGACGTTCCCGACGGTGAGATGTCGCGACGCGACGTCAGGGATATATATTTTGCTCGATGTATCGCGCGACGCATTTCCTACTCCGTCGTCATTTTTCCGTTCGATGGCGTTTTGAAGGAGCAGCCCGTCTCATCCCGACGACGCACGCTGGCGTCATGTGCCTGACTAAATGGTCGTCCCTACTCTCTTAAAGTGAATCAGTGAATAGTCACTGATATCAGTTATAAGTATAGCACTGAGCAGTGCTGTACTTATAGCTGCAACTTAGTGTATTTATTGTTTTCCATGATATTTCACTGATTCACTTTAGAAGAGTATCGACATGCTAAAGCATGTCACTGAACATTGGACTGCAATAACATAGACGGTGTTGTGTTACGTTACGCTCCCACAACATTTATTCGTGCTGCTTGCGCGTTGAAAAGGTGTTATAAAGTGCGTAATATACCGGATGCTTTCAGATAGTATCGGGAATTTTCATTTACGGACGCTCTGTGATTAATTTGGCCTCGGTTTTCACGGATGAAAACGTCGGAATATCGCCGGCCCGTCAGCTCATCAGCGAGAGTATTGATTTAAAAAGATGCGTGAATAGGTCTTTGCGGATTAATTTGCAGTAATGCGACAAGATAAGGAAGCAATTACTTTATCTCTCGTTTAATTTCAAATGATAGGCGAGCCAGGCACGAGAGTCACAGTAATATGAGAATTTTATTACGATCGGGAATTATATTTGAAAATGAAATACGGGAAGTGTGTATAAAAGGATATATGTATACACATGATGAAAGTGAAAACTGCGACAAAAATAAAACTCTAGAGTGTCAGAAATACTAAGCGTCTATAGCGCAAGCCCGTAGGCGGAAAAGAAAATATTTCTTCGGAGAGAGCTAGTGTGGCATAAATGTATGCAAATGAAGGGGATACTCCATGAAATTATGCATTGCGCTTGGGAAAATATCTCGGTCATACGCGCGTAATTATTCACATTTCGCTGCATGATAGAAGTTAATTGTTTCTTTTCCTTTTTCCTTTTCATCTGTAGATAATGAAAGAACTACGTTATATCGAATTATTCGTTTGATGATTTCTACTGCGAGAATTGACACAGCAAAAAAGCCGAGAGGCAGAACGAGCCTTTAATTCATACTCGCTGTCGTCGATCCGGCATTAATAACGGAAACTTACCGGAAATCTACGTCTCGATAGAGAGAATCTCATACGGAAAAAAAGGATTTGGTTAAATTAACTAAATATCTGGTCGAATATGAACGATCCAGAAATTTTGATTGAAGTAACCCAAATTCTGTTTAAGTTAACAAGATTTTTGGTGGACTAACCAAACATGTCTGGTTATTTAACCAGGTTGAATTAACCAAATATCTGGTTGAATATGAACGATCCAGACATTTGGTTAATTCAACCTGGTTAAATAACCAGACATGTTTGGTTAGTCCACCAAAAATCTTGTTAACTTAAACAGAATTCGGGTTACTTCAATCGGAATTTCTGGATCGTTCATACTCGACCAGACATTTGGTTAATTCAACCAAATCTTTTTTTTCCATGCACGCGCTGTAGTGCTCATTTTCTTATTGTTCAGCGCGAATTTTCCTTTCCGCTCATGAAACTTTCCTGCCCAGCGAGGGCAGGTTATAGTTTCGACGAATAGCGCGCTAGAAGCGCGACTAAAGTAAAACTTATTCCATGGTAACCGAGCGCAGATCAACCACGGTCTCAATCTGTCCAATATTTGTCATTCCGTCGCGATCGTTTTCCCGGGCTTAGCAGTCGCAACGGCGAAGCCGCAAGAATACGCGCCGTGAATCGCCGTGAATCGCACCGAGATTGCGCCGAGGACGGAAGTTGCGTCTCTCGATTACCCGGATACCTGCGCGGATACGGGACCGCGAACGAGATAGACGGCGGAATGAGAAGATTCGCGTTGGCAGCAACAGAGCACGGGAAGAAAAGGGACCGAGGGCGGCCTTCCGCCCCGGGGGATTTGTTACCCGACATCGTCTCGTCGTTTGCTTTTGACTCGACGCGGCCCGCACGCGCGCGGACTTTACGACACCCTTCATTACGTCGTCGTTATTCTTCGCTTTCTTTCTCTCCCTCTCTCTTGTTTGAGGACTCTTATTTTTCGTGCACCATAGGAGAAACCGACCGAGTCTGGAGTAGCCGGCTCTTATGAGAGTGCGCAAACGAGGTCGAACAAGGGAATGCCCTTGTTGCTGGTTAAACGAGGTACATGTCGCACGACATGCGTCAGAGATTTTCGCAGAGCATCTCTTTCCCTCCCTTCCCTCAAAATGGAATAGTACAGAGTGCGCGAGGGGAGCTACACGATAACGGTGATTGCTTTCCTATTCTGCATCGCTATTTTATGTGAATTTATCTATCGTTTTATATGTTTTATATGTTAAACGATTCAAAATGAATATAACAAACATTGACAGATTATTTGTGAAGTTATACTGAGCAAAAAGTGTTATATGAACATAGATTCTATTCTCAACAACACTTTTACCTACCTATTTACAGAAGTTTTAAAATATTGCTGCAATTAAAATAAAATCACACGGTGGTAGGAAATGACTACAAAGAAATTAAGACAAAAGAGGAGAATATACAAATATCATTTATTTATGATGGTCAGTTAGTAATCGACTAGTTCATATTTTTCTACCAGCGCGAATTCTGACTGACTTTTGCCTTTCTGTTTTTTGCTTTTCTGCCAAGGTGTGAATCCACCTTTACACTCGCGTTCTAAATCGCCCTGCACATCGACAGTGTGTTGTGTAACATTTGATGGTACACATATCGCGTGATGTTGTTTAATGTACGAGCGATAAAAATTTGATCGCAAATCTTGGCAATGTATGTCGCAGGCATCTCTCACGAATTATATGCTCTCGAGGATCGTGCACTGCGGCTGTTTGGGAATAGCGAGATTTTTCCGATTCCGAATTCCCAGGCGCGTTCGCGATTCTGCAACAGGAAGCGACGTCACACGAGGATCTCTGCTCGCGTGTGTTTCACGGCGGACAGTTAAAGTATTAAACAACCGGTGCGCGACGATAAGCACGGACCTCTTTGTCGATCGCTATGACTACTGATAACATAAGCCATGGTCGTTGGGCTTTTTGATCGCAGCCGATGACAATAATTCCATTCGCAGCACGATAAGGTCCCACCATCGACACGAATGAGAGAAAAATCGCCCTACAACCGGGCTATTTATCGATTGGGCAAACTGCGACATGTCTGCTCATCTAGCCCCTGCTCTTTCCTCATCTACTACAGAATTAATGGCAAAATTATATAATTATTTATACGCTTTTCGAAAATATAATGCACAAATTTTGCGTTTTATCGACAAAAATATTTTTTATGGAGGAAGAGCGCTAGGTAGACAGCTCCACTTACAACGAATAATAAAGTAATAATTAGTTAAAAACAAAATATAAGATTTTTGCACTGATGATGTGTTCTTAAATTAGAGTAATCTTGATTTTTGTGCAGTAATCCTTAAGTCCTTGGCTGGGCGAAAAAATGCTTGTCGGCCAAAAATACTTTTTGGCCAAAAAAGAGTTAATAAAATTATAAAAAGATTACTTCCTGATAGTTTCTTGAGTCGCTGAATCAGAGGTCAAAATTTCAAAACTCGAAATAGGGGCTCCAATATGGCAAATCAAAGATCTAAAAAATTGTTCAATTCGCATAAAAATTGGAATTTAAAGATTTTTTGTTAAATAGATTTTACATCGAAAAATTCACGAATTTCAAGTGACAAATTTAATATGATGGGCAAAAAATTCATAATATGATTCAATTTACGTAAATATTAATTTTGAGAGGTTCTAATTATTTAAAATTGTAAATTTAGCTTAATGAACACTTTCTGAGTTGCATTTTCATAGAATGCACAAACAGTGCGTATTTATATAATTCTGCCGTTAATTTTACAGTAAATGAAGGGAATGGAACTAGCTGGACAGACGTAACGTGTTATGGCAGCTCTTTCGATCCTGCCAGTGTCTCTACCTTTGACGAACTGGATTTAATTTCAAAGCCAACTTTTGCTGTCGTGAGCCCGACACAGCTGGCCGAAATCCGGCAATAGATGAAAGCGTTTTCCATTTGCAGGCTGCAGGGAACGTGCAAACACGGGGATGATCACGCGGGACGGCGCGTTTAACGCGATGAGGCTGATGAGCAAATAAATTGCTCAAAGGTTTTTTCCCAATCAGGACGTGACGAAGAATTAATTTTTCGCGCAAAATAAGGCGAGATAATATTTGCGAGATATTATTTGTTAATAAATCCAGAAGGGAGCGTGCGAGATTACACTCCATTGGAATGTATCGCGGCATCGGAGAGAGGGTGAATCGGGAAGTAGACGCTGAAGCGTGCGTTATGTATTATTAAGCGCGCCAAAATAAAAGCAAATTGACTCGCTCTCGCGGATCTTCCCTGCCTGTCTCGTGTTATTTGACTTAGAGACTTGATTAAGTTACGCTTTCAATAGACGGCCTGGGAATATTCGCAAATACAGATTCGCATACGCGTAGCGGCAGGACGACGACGTGGTGCGCTGCATAAAATCCAACGTTGCAGTAATGCAATACGTCTACGGGAGAGTTTCCGCAAATAGATACCGTTGTGGCGTTATAAATTTCAAACCGTTTGCCGATCTCTTCGGGGATTTCCAGCGTTATTCGCCGCTTCTTCCGGATATTCGCTTGCGCATATAATGACGATATAATTATATTATTATTTTATTACTTGCGTTCCGCATTTTCGTGTTTTCCCTGCGTGTCTCGTTTAATTGCTTCTTGTTCACAAAGCGCACATCGTTGTCGCGATACCACGCGGTATTACATAATACAGAATAACGTATACACGTGTTTTTGCCGCGCGCACGCGCGCGATGTTCGTGTCTCGTGTCGTGTTGTAAAATACGGATGTCACGAGTATAATTGCGAACACCAGTGATAAATTTCCCTTTTCATCGAACATACACACGTACATGTATTGATTATATTTCTCGCATAAAGTTCGCGTAGTAAAGTACGGCGCGATGTGATTATAGAATGTGTTGGCGGTGAAAACAGCCGAGGAATAAATGTCGGTCACGAACGGTCGCAGCTGTTGCGAGTATCGCGTTGGCGGAACATGAAGGAAAGGGAAAAAATGCGAGGAAAGAGAAATGCACACGGTCGCGGATATTGCGTTCCTTTTAAAAAGAAAAAAAATTGCCGTACCGTACTCCTCCCGAAAATAGCGGGTCGTGCGTGAAAAAAAATTCTTGTCTCGAACACACTCGCGATTGTTCATTGAATTTTTCCCGCGCGCGTGCCCGAAAACAATTAGCGAGGCGATCGGGGTAGCGACAGCGATCGCGTAGATGTCACAGCAGTATCTTGCACAGTTCTCATTCCCGTGCAAATGTAGCAGGCCAATCATTCTCGCCAAACGTGATGGGCTTCCGCGTATGCCGCGAGGTATTCCGCGACACACTATTTTTCCCCGTCGAGCGGCGCGATTCCGACAGACACGATAAAATCGGAGTTTGCGCGTGACTGCGCGTATCGATACGCGCGCAGTGGATATTTCGCTGGATCTTTTTGTCCAGTGGTTTAACTAACAAAATTAGCAATAACGATTCGGCGCGACCGCGAATTTCGAGAAGCGTGCTGCACGCTCTTTATTTCGCGAATTCCGTTTTATTTGCGGCCTCATGTCAAACGCGAGTATATCTCGAGATACGCGACATTCCGTCAGCAGTTCACCGATAGAATTTTTGTAATGGCAGCGTTATGTTTGCAACGAATTTGCGATTATCTTTCAGGTGGAAATGCTCTACCAGCGTTACTTCCTGCGCATGAATCAGAGCAACATGACGCACGTGCTCGGTTTATTAGCCGGCCTGGTGCTTGCGTTGGGCCTACTGCTTGTTCTCAAGCTGAAGCTGATCGACAATCAGCCGTTTTCCACGCAGCTGCATAAATCGGAGAATCTCTGTCTGGCGATCACTTTGGTCGGCTGCATCGTGGTTTACGCAGGTGAGACTGCGCAGATTACGTGGGATTATTATGTGCGAAGGTACACTGTAAAAAGTGTTTAATATTTGCGACCACGATCGCGCCATAAAATAATTACAGTCAAGAAAATTGTTCCTGTGCAGAGAGAGGGAGTATTATAGCTTTCTTTTTTATGTAAATTTCTTTTGATTTTACTACGCTTCTAGTATTGCAAGAATAGATAGTCAGCCCGGATAACATAATCTACTAGAAGATGTCGCAAAGACATCTACAAAACGTCCTATTTCTTTTCGACGTCTTTAATTCTTTTGCTACCAACGGAATATATGTGTTTCTCGTTAAAAATAACCTTGTTCAATTAAATAAACAGTTTTTTTGGCATTTAGAATATATCGGCTATCACTCTACTTATTACCGTTGGGACATGTATGGTCGCCCAGAAACCCCAGTGGGACATTAGTGTTCCGACCCTATCTCTTTAACGTTAAACATAAAACCTTTAATTTTTTAACTAAAACTACATTATATTAATGTATATTTAATAAAATAAAAATATAAAAAATTGTAGCTTTAAAATGCAAAATTAGTAGCGAAAGAGTTAAGACATCCTTTAGTGATTTGGGCTGTCTGCGATCTATCTTGCCAAGGAACACAATAAGTTTTGCTTGAAACCTAGCAAAATGTTTAACATTTGTTATACATTTAAATTTATAAAGCACAAATATATATGAAATGCAAGGATAGCTGATCTATTTCTTGATTATAGAATTCTATAGTAATTTGTATTATACATATATACACTGAGAGAAGAATTTAGTAAATATTATCAAAATTTGGTTACTATTACTAAATGGTAGACGTAAATAGCGGGCCAAAGCTATGGCAATACTTATTAATTAATTTAGTTCTGTAAAATAAATTATTTATTTGACAGAAGTAAAATTTATTTGCTTCCATAATATATTTGGTAAATAAAACTTGATTGAATAGTTGAGCAAAATAAGCGATTTTGTAGTAGTTACACAATTTTTGGTAGGTTCAACCAATCATCTATAATAATAGATATTGAAACGATGTAATAGCTGCAAATGAATAAATTTTTCGTTGTGCTGCAATAAAACATTCTTATACTGGTAACAAAATAGAACTCGTACCTACTGAATTTTTTATTACATGGGATATAACAATTTCATAACAATTATCAAATATCTGTTCATAACTGTAATATATTTCATATTAAATATTTAACATTAAGTAACTATTACTAAATTATTTAATTGATGTTACTGTGAATACAATTACATCATACTCCCGATTTATTAAATATTTAGTAATTATTATCATATTTAGTATTAGTTACTAAGGATTCAATGAATTTCTGTAACTAAATGCAGTTTGTTATAGTTACCAGTCTTTCCTCTCAGTGTATGTAAAGTGCTCTTGATAATAACCACTTGATAAAAATCCACACGAACTTATTGATCAACCCAATACATTTCGCTCATGCAACATCTCCTTTCTGCCTTCAGTTCTGGTGGCGGCCATCTCCAGACCAGGCATGAACGAGATATGGCTGGCAGGGATCAGCGGTGCGGTGCTGGTCACCCTGTTGGCCCTACAGGTGACTTTGAGCGTTCACCTGGCCTACTTGCATGGCGATCCGCACCTTAGATCGAAGGAGCTTTCTCAGACCGGAGGACCCCTTGCCGCCGCCTTGGCGGTTTGCTTCTTCATCTACATGGCCTACGCACTCTTGCCTATCAGACTGCGGCACGCCTGCATCGCCGGAGTCGTCTTTTCAGTGGCTCACCTCGTCGGAGCCTTTTTGCTCTACCCGCAGGATTACCCGGCGATGATGAAGCACGTGAGTCTAATTGCCTTTTGGTCGGTGTTCAATTTCGCCCGACAGATTTTCCCTACTAAAGTTCTCTTCTTTGCGCGGGTTATCGGTTTAGAAACGCTCGACCATCATAATCCGCGGATTCGCGTCAATAATTATTGTCGATTGAGCTGTAGTATTGTAATACACATGTGTATTATGCGGCGCACAACAATTGGCAAAAGTAGGTTATCCGATGATATTAATTAATCAATGTTACACGCGGGATTGACAATGAATTTGTACGTTTCCACGTAATTCCCCGACGTATTCTACAGCGCACGTATCTTGATCTGTATTCTCTGTCTAAATTCTGCTTATTATATAACTCACTTCGACCTCGAGTCGTTCTATGTGCGTCGTATTATTACGTGTAATAACTTTCGACGGAAATTACTTGCCTCCCTCTGACTAATTTCTGAAACATTTCTGATACGAGACCTCTTCGTGATGAATATCACGTTAGTATGTCATTCAACATATTAATGTGATTAATATCACGTTAATGTGTTGCCCAACGTATTAACGTGATTACTATTAATTTATTTTGATTATTGACTTACTGATTATTTCAGTCAAATAAAATTTCGATCTATTAATGCTCAACACACTAATGTGATTACTATCATTTTAATACGTTCGACATTAACTAATCCAAATTTTATTTGACTAGAATAATCAGTTAATACAGCAATATCCAGCATAATATGATAGTAATGATATGCTGGGCACATTAATTGATTAAAGTTTTTTTTTTTTTTACTAAAATAGTCGGCAAGCCAATAATCAAAATAAACCAATCGTCGTATATACGTAATCACGAGTAGTTTAATTCATTAATAAAATTAATTATTAAGTGTATAATCAATTAAGTGAAGATTTGATTAATAGTTAATTTCGTCAATCAATTAAGTTATTCGCGATTTTACATACGACGATTGATTAATCTTGATTAGGGATTTGTCGCGATTAATTTAGTCGACTGACATTTCAATCGATTAATGGCCGACTTTGATTAATATATAAGAGTTTTTTGCACTCATATATGCTGTTTACAGACGTACACGCTATTGTCTAATTTTCAAACGATCTGTGTGCGACAAACGAGTCAATTTACAAACCGTAAAAACGCCCGACTTTCCTGTTTCAATCGCGTTGCGATCTTCGCTCGTTATTTCTCATGCGAGTCTAATTAATCTCTAGTCACCCTAACATTCGCATTAAAAAAAGAAGCAATTGGATTGACAAAATCGGCCGTCTTCAAAGAAATATCGTGTCTATTGAACGAATTGCGCGTTAGTGCAATAATAGGTTGTGTTGATGTAGTTACTGACCAAATCTCAACCATGAATCAATTGATAACTCTCGTCGTAGCAACGATATAATTCGTTTAATGGACTAAGTTTGCTCGAACGAAATTTAACTCAACTACTTTTTTTTCTCAGTTTCTCAACGCAAAGCGCCGAGATATTTCGCGATTACCGACGCTGCGAGTGACGGCGCGATTATTAGTCGAATTACCACTGTAATCAATACACACCGTTGCAGAAACGGTTTGTCGGCACAAAGTGCGTGACACAATAATACCGGGTGAGCGCGGACGCATCTATTTATTAACGGGCTGCACAAAGCGGTCGCGAATGCCGAAACGAGGTGTGCTATTCGCAAATACCGGCTTGACTGAATCGGAAATCTAATTAGAGCGGACCTCGATCTCTGCCTCAGTGTTTGTCGAAGCACGTTTTGACATGGTGGTGATGTCATTTCTATCGTCGAGTTTCGCGTAGCTGAGAGAGTTTGCGCGCGCGCGCGAAAGAGAGAGAGAGAGAGAGAAAGCGAGCGGAATTATTCGAATCCAGCTCTGCCCTCGCAACCACCCTTGCCCCCACTTGCAGCATGTACAAAAATAAAGGGCAGGGCATTATAATAATAAAAACTGCAATATCGATGAAAATAATCGTTTAACGGCGACTACAATTAAAGACACCGCGAGAGCAAATGAGCGAAGCGTCGGCGATGGCAATTGAAGAGCTCAGTTACTTTTTACGACTGCACTCGTTCGAAAATCCCGTCGGCTTTCTCACCGCGATTAAAGTGCACCAAACTGCCGCGCTGATAAGAGACGGTTAGGAAAATTGATCGATGCCGCGGCCAAAGTGAGCGAGGGAAAGCTGTTCATTATGAGATCTCGTCAAAAGGGCTTGGTTTTATTGGATGGTGAACGTCGTCTTTATCTATCAAATTCCCCTCAATTGGATTCATCTCTCTCGCGCTCTATTTCAGTTTTATCATATGGAAAACTCGGGACTCCGCGAAGAGATGTAATTACGGATGCACTGAGACCGTGTTCTCTCGTCGAAAACATTCGCTCTTCGTGTTCTTAACATATCATGCGTATGACGATTGCAAAATATAACGGGTCTTATTATAACAAGACCTTATAGCGTTCACACGGACATAGGAAAAGTTAAGAATTGGACGTCTCCACGCGCTCACGACTTTCCTTCTTCTCTCGCGGAAACAAGACGTCCGCTGCAGAGAGATCTCTAGATACAAGTTTTGCGTTCTCCAACGCTTCGAAGTGCACTTAGAAAGGAAGGCACAGTGATGGAAATTATATAAGTGACAATTACACGAGTTTTGTACGTCTATATACTATATACTAAAAAAGAGAAAAGATATTTAAAAAATAAAACATTGTTATATTTGGTGTGGGTACTAATAGCATATATTTACTTAAATCTAGATTCTTCTATTTATTCGGTGCACCGAGTAAATATTTAATATTTTTAAATATTTTTTTCTCTCAGTGCCTAAAATAGAATGTTTCTGTCTGTTCCCTATAAACTCCTGAATCTCCTTTGACCGATCTGGACCAAATTTTCGCATAATTACTTTCTAAAGTACCGCATAAAAGTATAAGTTAAATTAAAATGTAATCTGGACACGCTTCTCCTTCATCCCTTTGACACACTTTGTGGTAATTCGCACAAAGCCGGATGTTTTCAACTAATTTCACCTGTATAGTTTGTATAAACTATTTTATAGTTATTGCAATTGAAGCTTCAGAGTTGTAATAGCTACAAAATAGTTTATTAAATTCATAATTCTACGTATAAAACTCGTACAGCTATCACCTATAGTTGCCATTACTATAATTCCTCTCTGAGTTGTGATGGTGGGAGCTTGCGAGAGGCGTGATTAAAGATTACAGAGTTACGGTGAGAACACGTAATTTCTCGTTCGCAAACGAGGAAAGTTTTCCCGTCCTGAGAATTCTGCGAAAGTTCCGCGGGACAGCAACGTCCGCTAATACTTGCGTTCATGTATTGGAATTAACGTTCTTATCTCACGTGTTCGATAGTGGCGATAGGCTTGGCGCGGCGAACTTGTTGCTACGAGAGGGCGAGCGGCGCAACTCGACAAGCGTCGTCCTCAAAGGGTAGCCCTTTGAATATAACGGGCCGGAGATACGGTCGGCGAAAGACGCCCTCGGTGACGCTAATATGCGGGCGGACATCACGCTCAAGGTTTGGAGATCATGTCGCTCGCTTCGCTTTTGGAATTCTCACCCGTTTCTGGTATACCGCGCACCCCTGCCGGCTTGTCGCTCTTCAATAGGTTCTCGTCTCGTCTCGTGGACGAGGTGTTAAGCCGCGATATCAGGTGATTAACGTCTCTGTTGTGTATGCACAACCTGCTGACCTATTTCGTGCCTCGAGCGCGACGTGTGTGTTAAATAAACAAATATATATACATGCGTATATATAGAGCAATATGTAGAAATGTGTAGAAACGTGCACATACATGTAGAAGAACCAAAAGTCTTAAGTGATTATTTTTACCAAGCGATGGAAAGTTCCCATAGTCTATTCGGAGGAAAAGGATTGGTCAAATTAATGTGACAATGAACGAAACAGGTTTCGCTTAAAGGAAACAGAATTTCTGGTTCTTACAAATGGAATTTGGTTTGTAACAATCAGAAATTCAGTTTTCTTCAACTAAGGTTTAGTTGTGTCATTGTCATGTTAATTCAGTAAAATTTAGATCCAGCGTGGTTGCTTTTGCAATGGGTTTGCAATGGGTTTGATTTTATATGCACGGTGAAAATAGTTAGATTAACTTGACAATAACTGACTTGACAATTAACTTGACAATAATACAACTAAATGCGTTTTGTTTGAAAAGAAGAGTTTCTAGTTTTTAAGAAATGCATTTGACTGATAAGAATCAGAAATTCTGCTTTCTTCAGCCAAGACGTGTTTAACTGTGCCATTATGTCACATTATTTCAACCAATCTTTGTTCTCTATGTATTTTCTGAAGATTCAAATACGATAAGCAAAATATTCACGCAAGAATCTCTTTATGTTTCTCCATCTCTCTCTTTTTCTTTTTGCAAATTTTAAGTTCTACTTCTAACATAATCTTGTCTCAATCGCCTGAGTCCTGCGACTATTGCGCATTGATATTTTCTTTTTACGAGCTGTAAAGTATTAGTAACGGTCGTACGAATGCATGCTATTTATAGACGTGTAGTTTACGATCTGCGTAAACACTCGCGATATCGCGAGTTTCTTTACGGAGTTGAAGCGATCGGCTATTTTTTTACTCGTGGTTTCGCAACGTTGCATAGTTCTTGTTTCTTTTGCTTTCTTCCACGGGGACACAGGATTACGGAATATCGGGTGAAGTTCGCAACAGATCCGCGCGAAATCTCGTTTACCTCGCAACGCCCACAGTAATTACTACTTAATTAAAATGGGAAACGCCCCAAGTTTCGTAATTTTTGTTTTTATCCTACAAGATAATACATCGCCGGTAGATAAATTAAGATTTTAATGTTAACGGTATATTAGCATAACTTAATAAGCGGAAGTTTATGTTTTCGTTTTTATCACCCAAACCACGGTTTAGCAATGAAACCACGATTAAATAATGTATTTACATTGTATGCTGGATCGAATCCATTACTCAGTGCATTCG